ATGGTGCGATCAAGAGGCTCGCCTAATATTCGGAAATCATAATTTTCTTGAACCTTACAAAAAAAACACGACTCGCATAACATTACCTAAGTGCTTAGTGAAAATTGGGTGTATTTTCAGCTAATAAATACAACACCAACGCCGTCAAACGCGTGAAATGTTTACGAACGCAACAACAAAGAAAACGTAGTCGGGAAAACTTTGCAGGGTTTCCTCTTGCGGTAGTTGACAGCGGCGTCACGTGGCCCACTGGGATGTACCAGGAGCACAGAACAGAGTTCAGTATTCCCTAGCATAGCCTCAAGTAAAGTGCGGCTACACCAAATTGGTGTAGTTTGATAATCGACAAGCCAAGTTCGCCCATGTTTTCTTTGTTTGCAGAATTTTAGTAGGTTATATCTAGAAGAAAAAGCCTGAAAGTGCTTAAATTGTAGAGGAATTTGTGAAAAGGGTTTTCTAGACAAGCAACATATAATTGCAATCGACCGATCCTTCTGGTTTTTTATGCATTCTGTGACCGGTAAAAACCCTATAAAACAAATTGTATCAACCTCACCTTACGCCACAGTTGCGAACTTTGGACAAAGGTCGCTCGTATTTCTCAACTGATGTTTGTTTTTCGCGAGTTCGTTACGGTTTATTTTGTTACTTTAGTTAGTTAAGGAGATAAAACGTGTGCTTTTACGTTTCTTGGTCTCTCAGTGGTTATGTTTTTCCTTAAGAATTCTCGCGGTGCCTGTAAAACTAATGAAGTTTACTTATACGATTATTTTTTATCTCTCTCATTTTTCTAGTGCCAGTATTTTACTAAAGTACAGTTAGTAAAGACTTTTTCACGCATAAATTTCAATGTATTGAATCTTATAAGCTTAAGGCTTACTTTATTGCCGTTGTAAAATCAAAATCGCGCTTTTAACTACAGAAAAGAACTACAGCGGTCCGTGTTTTTCGATCTAACTATAGTTATTCTTTAAAAATCGAAAAAAAAATTGAAAAAAAATTTCGACTCGGGTAGGACTTGAATTGGCATCGTCAGCGTTCCGTGGTGTTGCTCTGTTTCGATTTTTTAATTTTATTCTAAATTTCTATGTATGCTATCATGTACATAAACACGTGAAAGCGTTATATATATTGCGAACGTAAAGAAAAACTATACATCGTGCTTTTTAAAGGGCCAGGCAAAAACATTGCGTTGAATATCCAAAGCCAAAATAGGTCGATCGGTAATCGGGCGCATCTTGTTTAGATGTTATATGGCCTATTAACCTACCATCAAGTGACTGTGATCTGTCCTCTATGATAACATATATTCTACCTAAATGGACTTACATGTCATTATTTATTTCACATCTGCACGAAAATAATACAAATACAATTCAGTTGATTAACTGCGACAAAATAAGTAAGATTACTTATAGCTTACTCCTGACAAAGAAACATTTCACAAATCATACTTGAATCACGACTCAAATTCTACTTAGCCCATAAATATCGAAACGTGATCCATCATTTGAAATCCAATTTATTCCTTCAGTATTTGTACTTAATTCTTAAGGAACGCCGCAAACTCGGTAATATTGATGCGATATTAGTCACGTTTATATGTGTGTGTGTGTGCGAGAGTATTCCTGTTTTTCCGGATCGTATATGTGCTATTTCTTTGATTCGAATACATTAGTGTGTCCCGTTTCTCCCCTAGTGATGACTTCTTTACAGGCAAGCAGTAGTAGATTTCTATGCGGATCTGACAATATGATGGTTTCCCCACGATAAAACCCAGAACCTCTCGCGCTTAACGTAATGCTAGGCAACAAGTGTAACCATTTAGCTACATATTTAGTTAATTTTATGCCCCACCCGTTGCATTAGGTGAGTTTCAAACCCAGACCTTTATTCGTGGCATTGGTAAACAAAAGCTTAGTAGCTATAAACAATATTTATAAATCCAAGTAACTGGTCACAGTGCGTTAAATTAATGAGCTAGCGTTAGACTAGAGACTTATTAAAAAAATATAGCCTTGTTTATTTTCAATTCCATAACATTATTGTGTCATTACTTCGAAGCACGTCGCTAACAAGCCGACCAAAGACGATATTGAACCTTTCCGCACACTGTCATTCAACACTGGCAATTTTTATCTTGCATACAATCTGGAGTTCGTTCGTAAAGATAAAGTAGTGATGTGTTTGCATACAAAATGGTGTCCATACTTAATTTTAACAAAAAAAACCACGTTAATAATTCGGGATATACGTCTTTTTATTTTTTATAATTTTTTGTGAATGGTTCCAATTTACTGCCTTGTTGGTCCAGTGATACTCGATAGAAGCCCCGGGTTCGAATCCTGTTTCGAGCGTAATTTATTACGATTAATATTTTTGTCGATAGTATTATGTATAGTATTATTGTAAAACCAGTTTTGAAATATAGATGAAGATCGTAAGTTTTTATTTTGTATATGTATAATTCTATAAGTATTTTAGAACTAGTCTTCTTAAGTTTCCTGTTCAGCGTCGTAATTTAGAAATGGGTCTCGACGTATCGCCATTACAAGTAAAGGCGCCAAACAGTTTTACAAAATGGCCGCCAAAACGTTGTACAAATTTTATATTATATTCTGTCACCGTTTTAAAATTTCACTTGTTTACGATAATTTTATTAAATGTACAGATAAATTTCTATTTGCTTATTATAGTCTATATCATTATGCCAACCACGTTTTTCCTTTCGCAATTTTCGACATATTTAGGCACTTATTATAGAACGTGTGTAATTTGAGGAGTAATAAAGGTGGAATCTTTGAACCTCGATGTTTCCTAACGCATCACAAGTTCAAGCACTCTGTCTGAATATATATTAGCTCCGCTTAGTAATCCGTACGGGCTACAATTCATCATTTTTAAATGACAGTCGTATTAATGTTCCCCTAAATTGCCTGTTTGCGGTTTCCAAATTGAGATTTCTTCAATGAATAAATGAAAGATGTCTACTTATAATAAGGATTTAGAACAAAAATGAGAATTACAATTCAAGATGTATATTCATGTTAAATTGAAAATCTTAAAAATAAATTTAGGTATATGGAGAGATCTAAATTTTTAAGTTAGATATTTACAATGTTAACGACAATAGACGGAAGAAATTCCACTGACATGAATGACGTAAGCAAAAAAAAAAGTCGCTTATAAAAGTGCATTTGACTATTGAGGTAGTTTGGTTTATATCTATATAGTCGATGATTGTTTATCTGTGGCATGAACTACGCTCTATATCTCATTTATTTTATTTATTATCACTATGGTTTGAAATCGGCCATATTTATGGTATTTTTCAAATTAGAAAAAAACACTTCTTTAATTTTTATAATTACAAACTTAACTGATAAATTATGTCTTCTTAAGTTTTGGCCAAAAAATTTAAATTAACTTTTAATATAGAATATTATCAGAATACATACTTACTTTAGTATCGGATTTACATCGTATTTGTCTTGTGTTCACTGGTCGGTAAGAAGATTAGGCTGCCTTTGACAGATCTAGAAATTGCTAGCCATAGATACAATATGATATTCAGTATTATATTATTATATTTTGAATAATTCGACTAAATTTGCGCACAGATTATATAATTTATTATTGACATTATAAAATGTGAATTTATTTTATTTTATTTAAATAAAACGGTCTTTACGAGAAACATATTAATGGATTTATTAAACAGCAATAGGCTGAATTTAAGACTGATTTTGAATTCTGATACATATTTACTAAAAAATATTAAATTGAAAATCCATCATTTAAATTGCGCGCCTAAACGCTACTTTTCGAAATAACGCTGTAGTACTGCTAGTAACGTCACGACATCGATCATGTGATCTACAATTTATATTGACATTTTAACAGAGATTGAAGTAATAAAATTAATTACAAATTTACTAATGAGTAGAATATAACAGTTTTGACATTAGGAAGCACGGTTTATAACGGCATTATTTATAAGCATGTTATGTCGCCATAAACTATAAACCAATCAGGAACCTTTTTTTGTCACGTGACAAATGTTTTAAAAAGTTATTTTTTATTTGTGTTTTTTTTTCAATGACATTCATTATTATTTTTAACATATGTGACTGCTTTACTTTTCTTAACGTATATTTAATACTAACTGAAATTGACGCTAAATTTTTCGCATTATCAAATAGCCTAATAATTTGAACTACGGCTCAAAGTTGCTGCTGTAAATGTGTACTACTCACTTAAACTACACATGATTTTTAGTTTTATTTTTTTTATTGTATATGTTAATGCTTCAAAAAATTTGTAACAAAATAAGTAATATCACCCTATGGTGGCTGCTCGTCCGTTTGTTTACGGCTACAACCCTTTCCGACGTAAAGTTTATTTTGCGTCCCCGAAATTCCAACCTTTACTCAATTAAGACGAAATTAACTCATTATTGCCCTTAATTGAATGTTGAAAGTTCTAGCACAATATTATAAAAATACATTATTCTAATCTGAAATTTACAAGAAATATCATCTTCTCTTCTGAAGTTTTAGTAAGAAGGTACTTTCCTTAAAAAAAACACGGATATTGAGAGGAGTTGTGCTCATTGCTACGCTAAATTGTATTAAACATTGCTAACTTATTACAGTTTATTGAAAATCTTATCAAAAACATAAATGTTAAATGCAATCCAAGTTCAATATTATGATTTGTTGACATTAACGACAAAAGGGGTGATATTCAAATGGCACAAGTCAATCAAATTACCAAGTGATTTTTATTTATAACAACAAAAAATATTTATTTTATTATAACTTAAGATAACATAAATACCTTTTGCTTTTCTAAGATGTTTTAATATTGACGTAGTCAATACGGAATTGAGTGTATAGTACTTCAAATTAATAAAGCTCATAACAAAATACATTTTAATACACCGTCCCGATCAATGTATAACCATAGCATTTTAATTAAAATCTCTCTTTCGTTAACAGGACGAAGAAGTAAAAAAAGAGTTGCCCGTTGTGCCAAAATGCTGCGCGAGTGGACAAAACTTGAGTGTCACTATCGAAAATGGAAAAACGAAAACGGTCTGCGCCCGGTCCAGCCTCACCTTCCAGCCAATTTTCCACAAAGCTAATGAAACGCATATATGGAGTTACGACAGCAATGTGTTCGAAACGATCGTTGGCAACCCCTGCGCATACGATAGGTAAGCAATTAACCACTTGTTTAAAACCAATTGTTTTCAATCTCTCAAATTCGTTAATTACGGGCGTAACTAGAACTCACGTCCACGGCGTCTCGTGCTGTTGATGTAACCAATTGAGCTTCAACACATTAATACAATGCTGCGCGTGCTGGTTTAAATTCGGACACGGTAGGGCGTGTTTTATTTGTTTTTTTTATATATTTTTTTTATGTCAGAGGTAGATAGATAAGCTTGAGGTTTACGTGAAATGCCCCAGTCACATAACATTTAACACGATGCGTTGTTGACCAATTTAGGCTTTGGAGATTCGGATTTTATGTAATAATGTCATCTCCAATAACATTTGACACATAATAGTCCTCAAAAGCTAAGGAGATACTACGTTACGTTACTCTACGTTGTGTCACTTCATAAACAACTTTTGATAGGCAACTAGTTGATATAGACGCCAGATCAAGCTTCTGACACTGACCCAGGAAATCTCGAGCCCTTTCCAGCCATTTATTCAGTGTAACGATTAAGTTACTGTCATAACAAACTTAAACATGGTTCACTCTGAACTTAGTATTCGCTTATAAATAAACTCTTAAAGCTCGTCTAAGCAACAACAACGAGAGACGCCAAATGAATAAAAAAACACACGTAATATTTAAACGCGCAGCTAATTATTTTTTAATAGTAAATAACATAAGTGATTTTATTTTTTTATTCTTCATACAATTCATTTAGTTTTGCTAATGTAATTAAAAAGCATGTAACTAAATTGCACATTAACACGCGATGATAAGAAACTAAAAAAATTATTTACTTTTTTTTTAATCTATACTAATATACAACGCTGAAGAGTTTGTTTATTTGTTTGAACGCCCTAATCTCAGGAATTACAGGTTCGAATTGAAAAAATGTTTTTGTGTTGGTTAGAACATCTATTGAGTGACTTACAAGAGCGAGATCGCTAGTCATCGCTAACAACCGATCTCTTCCATCATTTTAGTTTATAAGTCTATTTTTATATTTTTTTTGTATTGTGTAATAAAGTGTTAATAAAATAAGCGTATAGTTAATCATCTTAATTGCTTCACCCAACCTCGATTTGAGAGCCTCTCTGATATCTCTATCTGTCCCCAGGTACAAGCTGGAGCCTGATAAAATGAGCGAAGATGAGTTTTACCTTTTGTTCAATGGCTCTCTATTCATGCCCTTCAGTAAGCCCCCGTTATTGGGAACAAGAAATTTTTGTATGGAAACATTTTGGAACGAATCCAACCCGGCAGGAGTGACGCTGCCCCTCGTTTGCTTCTCGGCTCCCGTCGAAGAAGCGGGAAGTTCGCCAACGCTTATTGCATACGCTATCGGTTAGTAAGTAATTGTTAATTCCTTACTTACTTTTTTATTTGTTATATAGTAAGCTTAAATTAGAAATCGATTATAAATTTTAAACAATTATGATTCTCGAACCGGCAACCACAGCGTGTCTGTCTGAACACAGCAACAGCACGGAACGTTGCGGTTGCCGAGTCTAGTCCTGCCCGTGTTGTATTTTTTATATAGTGTCATCATGTGCAACAAAAAGTAAAAAATCAAATATCAAAAGTTAATATAGTCCAGTGTATTGCATTCCACCTTCTTTCTATCTAGTGACCTCATGATAGTCTTCATAAAAAAAAAAAATTGTTTAGTCGATGGTACTAAGATTCAAATTCTGTCTTTTCTAAAAAAATATTACTATACAAGAAATCGAATCATATATGTAATCTTAGAGAAATGACGACGTAGATATTTAATTTGATTTGTCATGAATTTTGCCTGAAGAAATATTTTTTTCAGGTCTAATAATATCAGTTCCGTTCCTATTGGCGACGGCTATTGTCTACACCTTCATCACAGAACTGAGAGACACACACGGAAAGGCTTTAGCTTGCCACGCTACGTGTTTGGCGTTAGCCTTCTCTTGTCTAGCTGCAACACAGCTGGCCGGACACGCCTTCCCTCACACGGCTTGTACTATAATGGGTAACCTATATGCAATTTAGCTATGATACCATTGAAAAATATTACCTCCTTTTGTACTGTCTGTAGTTTACATTTAAACGAAACGCGATATATATTAGTTAAACTTTTTTGAAATTTTTTAAAACCCCGCCCCACTTTTTTTGTTTTTTTGGAGGCGGGGGGGCAGGGGGGAAAAAAAAGTGAAATAATTTTTAAATAAGTTTAACTAATATATATCGCGTTTTAAACCGTTAAAGTGTTTTATTTATAAGATGTAGGCAGCAATTTGATTAAAACGTTGAACTGCAAATCGGAAAATGTAGACAGAATGTAGGCTGTAAAATTTGTAATATTATAATATTCTGTAATGTTTAATTTTATTACTTATAAGTTAAGCATTTCTAAACCTTACCAAATAAATTATTTATAATGGTTTAAAACGCGAACTACTAGTTAAAGCCTAACACATACTATAATAACGTATTACAATAAACACGGCTATTTTAAAGCATAACACCTTTAAAAGATTTTTTTATACGAGTATACACACTATATAATGTATTAATTATGTAAACACTCTCCAGGTACATAGTAATCTTTTTATGTTTTCAGCTTATCTTATCCAGTTCTCATTCGTATCCTGTTTCTTCTGGCTAAATGTAATGTGTTTTGACACTTATTTGAATGTAAAGTAAGTTATATCAATTGTAATCACATTTCTAACTTACGTATCTTTGTAATATATTTTATGTTTTGTTTATTATCTACCATTTAATCTTACATTTTGATAATAATAATAGTAGTAGTAGTGGTGTAATAGTAGCATCGTATAGTTGATAATCAACGGGTCGTGATTTTAATCCCCGCCGGGTTAATTTTTTGTGAAACCAAAGCTTATTTACTCTTCTTTTTCAGGAGATATATTAACACTTCAGTGAGTAGAAGAAGTATGAGACATAGATTCGCTTGGTACTGCGCGTACGCAATTCTTCTCCCAGTTATTTTACTTATTGTAACAATAACCATGGATCTATCTCCAGCTGTACCGAGTACTTATTTAAAGCCTAATTTTGGTGTAAAAGGATGCTGGTTTAAGAGTAAGTACCTATTATCACAAGGAATATTGGTTAGTTTCGGAGGAGGGTAATTCTCCTAGTCAGCGTTCTGGTTGCTCTGTGGACGATGCCGGTTCAAGTCCTGCCCGAGTCGAAAATTTTTTCAACTTATTTTCGACCTTTAAATTATATAGTACCATCATGTGCATAGTAACATGTGAAAAGTATTAGAGTTTTCAAGTACATATATTATGTTGTTTAAACAAACCAATGCCATTGATTAAACTAAATAAGTAAAAGTATTATGTTTTGTATTTTTTGTGGTCATGAACTCTTGATGTCCATTTTGGGCCAGGACATTATTTAAAGTGATCTTTTCTATTGGACAGACAAAATAAACATTTATTTAGTGCCTTCATGTGCGATAACATGTGGAAAATATTAAATTCGTCATAACAAACAGTTAGCAAAAGATATTTGAAGAGTTATAATTAGTTTCTTTACATTACTTGAGAGAAAGGTAACCCGTTCATTATTAATTTTAGTCGCAAATTTGCAACAAAGAATAATTTCTTAGGCCAGATGCTAATTTAATTTTCTCCTTTGTAGCGGACCAGGCAGCGCTCCCGTATTTCTATGGGCCGGTCGCTGTTATACTCCTCACCAACCTAATTATATTTTTGTTCACTTCACGCGCCTTCGCAAAGCATTATAATAAGCTTAAAGACGTTTCACGTAAGTAAATTTTAATTAAATAATAAATAAGTAAATAAAAAATAGCATTTTTGCTTGAAACAGTCATTGTTATTACCAAGTAATTATAATACTCATTACTTATACTTATTATATGACAGTATTAAAAAGAAATACTGTCTGTAGTTTACGCGAGAAGTACATATTTAAATAAAATACTTTAACGGTTTAAAACGCGATATATATAAGTTAAACTTATTTTTAACTATGGCCCGATGTTTCGGATGCTTTTCTTCCCGTGGCTACGACTGCTGCATAGCATTCGAAATGTCGGGTCGAAGTTAAACATTTTAAACAAGTTTAACTAATATATATGGCGTTTTTAACCTTTACAGTGTTTTAAACAGTATTAAGAGTTTTATTAGTGTTTTTTGTCAACAAAACGTAAAAACCGATACGTTAGGTATTATTTAAGAAAACCTTATGTATTTTGCGTTTTAAACAGTTAAACCGTTTGCTTAGGCAAAATCCACAAACAAAGGCGCAACTAATGTTTGTTAGTAAAGGAAACTCCACAAGACACTCGGAAAAAAATAATTAATTCATATCATAATATATTGTATTGTTCTCTCTACCCTATGTTTTTCAGTGGAAGTTAATTTTCATATGAAACAATAGTCTTGAATTCTTTGTTTGTACTCTATTTTTGCCCTTTATTGTTGTTAAAATGCTATGAATTTTTCTATAATATCACGTTTCATGTAATTCTAATTATAAATTTTACTTGATTGAATAAAACTACTGGATTAACTTAGCTCTTGGCAATTATTTAGTAAAACAATTGTTAGCAGATGACTAAAATAATTATCTAAGTTTCAATTAATCAAATTTATTGTAATTATACAATAACTTGTTTGAGTTTTCTTTTATGCTAAAATGAGACAATTGAAAAACAGTTTTTAACTATGCGACTGGAATTTCAGAATTTTCTTTTTGCCTTTTTGCAATTAGCTTTAGACCTGACGCACTCAGAATTCAGTACATCAGATGACTGGGTGAGACTAGGTACAGTGTTGGGGCAACCTGTTCCAATAAATGAGAATTCACCTTCAAGAGAACCGCGGATGAATTTCAACCAGCGGTTAAAGAAGTATAAGAAACTGTAAGTACACAGGCGAGATGTTTTAAAAATATTTTTTTTTACTTTATTTGAATTCCATAGTTTGTCCTGATCAAATTAGATATAAATTTGGATTTAATCTGAATAATTAAGATTAATATTCATAAGAAACACAGCGTTTATTAATATTATTACAGAAATTATTAATACAAAAAAGTGTATGCTTATATTTTTCTATATTTCATTTTATTGATTTTTTATGTTTATTAAAGTTATATTTAAAGCTTAATTCCAACGTTTTATTTAAGACAATAACTGTATCAAATTTAATAATTAAGACAAACTTAGTATTTAACTAGTATCTGAATCTAGAACTAAATTTGTTTACCTACCTACCCGCATAATAATGAAACGCCTCAGAGAATAGAAATGAATGGTTAGAATATCTAGATGAACCGAAATGCTTGTAGTTAAACCACAATAACTAATCTCTTTGAGATTGCTAAATATAGTATCTCATATATTTACCACCATGCGTTCCAAGTTTATAATGTAAAAAAAATGTCAAGGTTACACAGTCTACTTAATTTATTTCTTATCTGTGCACTAAATAAGTAATAATTAATTATAGATAATCTTCAGCTTATGTCAATTGACGTAATGACAAATGTCAAAAATTTTTCAAATATTATTTTCACAGATTCCGAAAGTGTTGCCTGCTCTCTATAATCATGGGGATATCGTGGGTCCTAGAAGTGGTGTCATGGGCGGCCGGAGCTGGTACATCTGCCGTATCAGTGTGGTCGGTCTTCGATCTTATAAACGCGCTACAAGGAGTCGTGATATTCGCAATCTTTGTTTTACAACAGCCCGTCCGGTCGTTTGTTAAGGTAATCCTTTTTTCTAACTTAGTTAACATTTATAAATACGGTATTTAATCTGTGGCTGCCAACTGCAAAAATTGTAGCAAGGCAACAAAGTTCGAGACAAATTCGTCGTTAACGTTAACAATAGCACATTCTGTCCTATAATATTTGGTGTGTCGCTGTACGACTTATAGTGTTTATAGGAGACCGCAGACTTACAGATTGCTTGAACTAGGTTTTAATTAAAACGGTATAGCGGCCGAATAAACTACGAACTCTACTACATTAATTAAAGATTCTTGCATGTCGACTTCTAATGATATCTACTATCGATAATGCGATAAATGTACTGCAATTTCTTAATCTTGAACACATCGTATGAATTCTTTCAGCCACAGATAACAAATCTAAGGAATTTTAATTTCGTATGATTAATGTAATATTATCTTATTGCTATGTCGCTCTATAATATTAAAAAGTTAAAAGCATTAGATGGGCGCATAAGACTTTCAGCTTTTAAATAGTTATAAAATCATCATATTTCTGTCTTCAACAGTTTTCAAGACTCTGCAGTGCGTGTAGAAGAAAAAAAGACGAATCAGAACTATCGGTAGTGAGTGACAGAAACAGTATTTGCGGTACAGGCAGAAGAGACTTCGTGTAATAGTGATGTAACTTGATTAGGACTTGTCTAAGAACTAAATACTTATAAAGCCTTGACCAATCGTCTCTCGCTCATTTGGTAAACCTTATAGCTACATCTTCAATCGATGAAATTATTTATTAAAAATCTATTCACATTGAAGAGAATCTACGACAAGAGCGAGTCTTGAACCAGCTTACACGGTAGCTCAATTGATTAGAAAAGCTCAATGTTAGTAAATTTTGTAATTAATATAATGCCATTATGTGCAATAACATTTGAAAAATATGAAAGTTTTTTTGTTTACTTGTAACATTAGATAGCAGCTATCTCTTACTTCATCGTCAAATTCCTTGCTTTTACCTATTATAAGTGGAGGCATTATAGAGAGAAGTCTGTCTACAAGCTTAAAGTATTTAATTTTTAGACGCAGAAGTGAATAGACTGATTCGAATACAGTATTAAGTTAAAAGTCACTAGGCAGTGAACCTTGGAACGTACGATAGTTCCTTTTTATAAAATAGTTAGTATAATAAAGCTATTATAAAATGTATGCATAGTAAATATTTATTTCCAATTGACAATGTGTATAAACTAGAATTTAGGTTAGTATTAACGTTTTTTAATCAAATACGAATGTTGGCAATTACATAACACAATTTTATAGACACATTTAATTTTTACAACTATAATAACGGCTTAAAAGTAATATATATGTCTGTACACAATGCGTTCTAAATATTCGTCTCATTAGTTTCTGTACATAATGAAGGAGACGGCTATACTGTTTTAGTCTAGATTTGTTTGTCATTCGCTCTATCAACATGTTACTAAGTATAATTAATTTTATAGCGTGTTATTCATAGTCTGTGGTACGGTTATGAGATAATATTTTTGTATTTAAAATTACGACCGAACTAAACGACGGTGGGTAGTTAGAAAACTGCTTCTTTTCGTTAGTTAACTTATTTGGATATACATATTAAATACTTTAGTAGTTTACGCGAGTAGTACACATTTAAATAAAACACTTTAACGGTTTAAAACGCGATATATTAGTTAAACTTATTTGAAAATGATTTTTAACTTTGGCCCGACGTTTCGGTTGCTTTGCAGCAGCCGTGGTCACGGGGAGACTAAAGATGTGATTGTGGCCTATCCTACATCGGCCAAACACAGCGTAGCATCTCAAACAGAATTAAAGAACACGTCGAGGATATAAAACATAAACGTCTCTACAAATTAAGTTTAATTCAGTTTAACTAATATATCGCGTTTTAAACCGTTAAAGTGTTTTATTTAAATATACATATTTTGTTAATAATCGTTGCTTAAAAGTTATAAGTTAAAATATATTGTACGAGCCATAAATTGTATTTTGACTACATACGTCTTTTTTATTTGTGTTGCTTGTTCCATTTCACATATTAATACTAGTCATAATTATAATTAAGTTTCGTATGTTTTTATACTACTTTTTATTATTTTTTGTGTCTAACAAATATATGGCTTTTGTTTTCATCGCTGCAATATTTATTCGTACTATTAAATATTATCGCTTTCAAATATATTTATCGATGTTGTCACTTGTTTTTCGGTTCTAGTCTAGTCATTTATTAGATTAAATTTGATTTATTTTTATTGTGTCTTATGTAAATATTTCGGAATGTACTATAAAAAATGAAAGGATTACTTTGTTTTTTTTCCGAACATATGTAAATTAAATGAAAATTCAAATTTTACGACAATAATTAGATTAATAAAAAATATTTTGATTTTGAATTTTGATTTTTTTTTTATTGAAAGGGGGGTATAGGCATACATATGTAAATAAAATACTATCAAAACAGGCCTCAAATCCACGACCTACGTACAGACACAATATTTAGATATCCGACTAACACAAATGAGTAAAAAATGCTCACCCGGTCGTGACTTCGGTTCCATTCTGTATAAAGAATGAAATGTTATTTAATTTACTATTGCGTTGTAATAGTTAATTTGAATTCTTCTTATTTGTAAAACTGTGTATAGTAGTAGATATCTTAATATAATTAATGTGTGTACCTACTCTGTAATATAACAATAGTTGTTAAATGTTGCGGAATTTAAGGAAAGTAAAAATGATGTATATTTGTCTATTTTGCAAACATGACGTTAAATAAAGAAGCTTTATAATACTTTAGTTTTATTTATCCTTTTAAAAGAAATACCTTAATGTTTAAAACGCGAAATAAATTAGACAATTTCTAAGTACGGCCCGACGTTTCGGGTCCTTTGAAGCAGCTATGGTTACCTAAGGAAGGGGGGGGATAATTTGGAAATAAGTTAACTGATAAAGCGTTCAAAATGACAACACTTTATTCTTTCAATCTGTGTTGAACTCTTTCTAGCCGAAAATAGTTATTAATTAGGGCCTAGGTTCTTATTTATCCGCCAGTACATATACCTAAAGTTTCAATATATTAAAGAAAATATATTACCCACTGCCAAAAATACTAGTCCTAGTAAGGAACCAATTTTAGGAGTTCTCATAGGATATCTGAATAGGTTTTTCAATTATTCAGTATATTAGTATTGTATGCAATTTACGCGAGTATACACTTTTGAAACGTCGGTCCGAGGTAAGCTAATACATTTCGCGTTTAAAACTGTTTTTTTTTTCAGTATGTACTTTAAAAATATTATCGTTTAATATGTATATAGATAGTTTTAGGATAGAAAAGATTACGGTATAGAACTAACTAATTATTGTGCGGTAAATAGAGTTTGTCTAGTAAAACAAAAATAATACGCAAGTATGAGGGTTCGTTAGACTCAATAGTCGGAGTATTTTGCATGGCTCGACAGTTTCCGCAATTCCAATCGGCATTTCTAATAACAACGGAATGGGGTGAAACGAAGCGAGGACGGCTGGCACGGTAATCTTGTGGAATTCCTCTAGAGCCTCCATATCCAGCCTGTCGCTGGGCATAGAGCTGAAGCTTTGTTTTTAAATCTTATAGAAGAGATACACTGATACGCTATAATAATATTGATAATCATCCTATAAGCAAATGATGCATTATAGTTGAATGTGATTTCTTTGCCCTGGCCAAATGAAATAATTTATTGTGTCCCCGGGAATCAAAATCAGGACATCTCTTGCTTAACGCAAAGCTTGCTAAGGAACAAGTTTTTAAGGGTTTTATTCAGAGATACTTTAAAATTAAACATAAAAGTAATAATAATGTAAAAATGTGTAACTTTTTTCTATTAGTATCTTCTTTGTTGAAGAAATGAAAATTAACATATAATTCAAAAAATAATAAGATTTTCAACTTTTTATTAGTGGAAAGCAAGTTTTTTTTATTTAAGAAAAAAAAAAAGAATACAGAAAACAAACAATTACAATAACAATAGAGAATAGAGACTAAAAAACAAAGTATAGATATCTCCTTAAATAGTTACACAGATAATATCGAGCTTTTACACAACTAGACCGCGAAAAGCAATGACAGGCAGTAAACATTTTTAATCTGTATATGTATCGAGATACTCGTCAAAATAGTAATTGCTTGCGGAAAGTGTTAACTGTGGTGTACGTGACGTCATTGACAGATGGAGACACGTCATTCATAATGCATTCGATGTTTGCCCTTATTCGTCCGAGATCTCGCATTTCCCGAAATGGCTGACATATTGACATCTAGAACACCTATTATAAATTCTGGATATCTTTGATTGCCATAATAATTAGATGCACAGAATACTAATGCTGAGTAATTTTAACACCCATTCGATTACGTATTGTCTGTAGCTCACGCGAGTGTTAAAATAAAAACATTAAGCCTCCGAAACGATGGGCCGTCGTTAAAATAAATTGTAAGTTATTTCACCTTTAAAATTTTTAAAATTGTTATATTAAAATCCATTTGGTCATTAAGTATATGTAGATATTTGATCGATGAGCAAAGTTTTAGTATTATTTGCAATAAATGATCTTTTATTAATGTAATTAAGCATAGTTTTATACATATATAATTTCTAAAAAATGCCTCTAAAAGAAATAAAAGAAGTCCATTGTATATAGAACTTCAGTGCCTTAAGTTGAAAGAGTTTGCTGCTTAATCATATATGTTGGACCGGTTATATTTTGGAACTAAAAGCACAAGTCGCGTAGCTATTGTACGGACAGTGCACTAGGACCCAGAGATTACGGGGCCTCTAACCTCATCTTTGAAAAAGAAAAGCCAGTAAGAAAAGGAGAGCTTTTTTTACGTTTTTCAATATAATTTTTGAGGCTTATCATGCTTCGCGGGAAGAATGGATGTGAGGAGCCATTTTATTGCTTCTTATACCGGAGCTCTTTTCCACACAGCTACGCTACTTTTGTATGTCTATCTGTATTGCGAACATTGTGACATCATTATAACACTTCAACAACGAATTTTATATATGTAAAGAAGCATATAATATGATTTCGTTGCTGTTAAAAGATACATAACCAACTAAAGTAGACAAAGTTTAGCAAATACAAGCAGGCTTCTAAATAAATCCGTGCATGTTTAACACGTAAAACTCTCACTCGCAAATCGGCCGTCAAAACAACCCTTAACAAACAATGATTATAAAGTTAGACGTACCGTGAAATATTGCGATACCACTTCGTAGGGGAGAGACGTCGACTGTTCATAACAAAGTGTGATTGATGAGATTTATCTGAAGGTGCAAAGAGCCCCTTTAAATATACCTCGGTATATGGGACGCGGTGCATATTGCCGCCCCGAAAAGGGGACCAACTTAATGTATTCCGATAAGATTTTAATGCTTCGCGTGCTTCAAATTTTCAATTATAATAAACTGACGCCGGGAGAATATTTTAACAATGTTGCCGTATTAAATTGTTGATGCCGTGCGCTGCTGATTTTTTTTTATTCATTGAGGCCGCCAGAAGCAGAGTAGCCTAACTAGAATTTATGTTATTTATAATTTTATACTCTACAAATGTTAATCTACGAGAGTACAGTGACTGAAAATTG